ATGACATGCAAATTGCAAAATTGGTCATGCAAATTCATGCTAATTATGTGCTAATTATTGATAGTAAAAAAAATCAAATTATCCTAATGGGCGGTGCTGGCGTAACGCACGCAAACAGGTGACGTTCCACAGTCAATAATAAATTAAGATAAGATAAAAACTGAATCGAAAAATAAAGATTGACAATATGAAAAACCCGATAAACCTACTTAAATATCAAGAAAATAATTTATCTTTTGATTTTATTTTGAATAAGCTAAATTTGTATAGTATATTGAATAAATATGCATTAAAAACCAACAAAATGACCCAATAATTTTAAAAATGCTCTAAAAATGAAAAACGGTGTAATATGCAAAAAAATATAAAATAAAATTTGTAACTTAATAACTAATAACTTAAGAAATTGATATCAATGGTTTTTAGTTTTTATATTTAACTAAGAAAAATATAGCTAATCAAACTAGAAATATTCGTTTAAATAAATAATAAATTTTTATTTTGTATTATTATATTTTACATAAAATATAACTTATTTTTTATTTGTTTTGCCAAAAAATTTTTTATATACTTATTTAATATTTACTATATTTACTATTTAGTAATAAATATAGTAAATACCTAGTATATGATTTGGTAGTTAATACTTAAAAGGTAATTACTAATTAGTAATTATGATTTGTATTTTACTATTTTGTAAGAATTATTATCATTACTAATTAATTTAATTTATATTTTTATGGTTATTATAATACATTTTTTTAAATATTAATATTAAATATAGATCTAGGGACTGGGATAATATTTTAAAAAACTTTGTTCAATATTAAATTAACTTCACTCAAAATAGTTTTTTGAATTCAATAATTTATATAATTGCTTTTAAATTCAAATGTGTATAAAGATTATCAGAATGAATTTCATTCTATTGAAATAAATAACAAAAGAAGAAAGAATAAAGATACATCCCAACAACAAGATATCATGATATCAATGTCAAATCTGAAAAACTTTCAGCTAGTAATAAAAAAAACGAAGTTTATTACAGTAAGAATTGTAGAAATGATTGCTTTGGATTACCAATATATTTCAATTCTAAAAGATTATGGATTTAAGAGGTTGATGGCAGTTGCAGAAGATCGATATTTTGTATCAAGTCGTAAGTTACTATCTCAAAAATTAATAGATACCAGAGATGTATGCAAACAAAAAAAAAAATTACTAAATAACCGAATCAAAATCGATTTAGAAAATATTAAATTGATTTCTTTTACATTTGATCTTTGGTCGAATAAATTGAAACTCAAAAATAAAACTCTTGGTTGTTCCCACTTTCCAGGAGAACATACAGATATGTCATATATAATAAAATTAAAAATATGGTTACAGAATGGAACAATGAAAATGAAAATAGTAACTCAAATATATCCATTTTTTTTTTTGTTACTGATAATGCTAGAAATATATCTAGTGCCCTTAGTCACAATGGAAGTAACTTTGAACACATTTTATGTACAGCACATACTCTTCAGTTGGCAATTGATGATGCTGTAAAATTAAGTAAAATGACTGACCTGTTGAAACTATGTAAAGCAATTATAACGCTTTATAATCACAGCGATATCGCATCTGAATGATTAACAGATAGGTACACAAAAAAGATTAAATTTAGCACCACATAAACTTATTCAAATGGTCAACACTCAATGGATTAGTATATATTTGATGCTACAAAGAATGTTAGAGTAGAAAGATGCCATTTTAATTGACTTACCTAAAATTAAAGAAGGACAAATATTGTTTGCTAAAGATTAGTATACGATAGAAGGTTATGTCACTCTTCTCAAGCCAATATTTGAAGCAACAAAAGAATTCAGTCGAGAAGATACGCCTACACTAACTATGGTACTACCAATCATTTATACAATTGATGCTAATTTATTTATTTTAGACAAATACGACACAAGAACCCGGAACATGCTTCGCTTAAAATTTATTAAGATCCATGTGTTAACGATTTGATGTATATAAAAAAAATCAAATCTACATTATGGCTATGTTGATAGGTCCAAGAATTAAAGGACTTATGTTGAATGAAAATGAGTTATTACAAACAAAGTCATATATTACATCAGAAGTAAAAAAATATAGAATCAACTATGAGATATTATCACAACCAAGCACCTCAGATGAGTTATTAACTAAAAAACTTAAAAATTCAAACTATTCACTTTGGGACATACTTCATCAGCGTTCAGTATCAAAAGTGTCTACTACAGTAACTTCAATAAATGAAGTAACAATTGAAGTATGATATTTAAATTTATATTAATAATAGTATAATTATAATATAATACAGTCATACAGTAAATCAAACTGATAAATAATTAATAACAATTATTGTTTATTAATTGTTATTAGTTCTTACTCTAATATTTTTACTATTTTTTTAATTTGTTAGATAGAAAATTAATTATTGCTAAAAAACATTGAACCGACAGCTGATCCATTAAAGTGGTGAGAAAATAACCATCAAACATTTCCTCAATTGCTACCAGTGGTTTTGAAATTTTTAGGTGTATCAGGTACATCGGTTTGTAGTGAATGACTGTTTTCTGAAAATGGTTCAACAGTATACTCAAGAAGAACACGTCTTTCTCCATTTTTAATGGAATATCTTGTATTTTTACACAATAATTTATAATATTGCTTAATAATTATTAATTTACTTTTTATTTTATAATTACTTGTCTAACAATTTAGTATTTAATATTTTATTATTTATTATTAATTAACACTGTTAAAGTTAAATTAATGTTTGATGTATAAAATATAAATTAAAGAATAAGAGTTATGAATAACATATTAGATCTTTTAAATTTGAATAATTTGTAAGGTTTACAGATTTGAAATAATTTTATTACACTTTTTTAATTTTTAAAACAATTGGTACCAACCTATCAATTTTACTCTGTATAAAAGAGATAGATATAAAATATAAATGTATAATACTATAATTCTAAAATCTAAATTAAAATCTTTGAACCGATAAAACTTTAATAAAATTAAAATTTGAATAGTATTTGTAGTATATAATAGTATAATAATAATAATAATAATATATAATAGGATATAATAGTAATTGGTTATTACTAAATAAGTATTTTGATTTGACATAACTACGCAGTATTTGGAATAAAATGCTAGGTTGAAGTTCGATATCATACTATAAAGTTCGGTTCGAGTTCAATTTGTCATACTAAGGTTTGGTTCGAGTTCAGTTCGATATAGGATTAAAAAGTTCGGTTTGAATTCGGTTCAACATACCATGGTTCGGTTCGAGACCATATTTTTGAGTTCGACCCATTTTTAGTATGTTTAATATGTAGTATAGTTTACGAGTGGCATTATCGTAACTTGTAAATCGTAAATTCCGTGTAAATTTCCATATTATTATAAATAGTAATAAAAATTAATAGTCAGCATTGAATAACAGAATGTAGGAATCTCTTAGTTAAACGATAACGTCAACGCCATCTTTCAACGATATGTCGATACTAATTGACATGTTTTTTCTTATCTGTTTTTTTCACGTAAGGATAGTCCCGTTCAGAGTTGGGAGGGTTACTGGGTAAAAATTAACTCAGACCTCCCGAAGGCCAAATAATCATGGTGTCCCACTCCTCAAGATTACTAAATCCAAAAAACTATAACTTAATTTTATCTAATTGAAAAATCCTTGATTTACAACAATTTTAACGATGTCCCCGTAAAAACGATAAATAAAATCAAACTTGTACCGTAATAATATAATTTGGAATATATTACAAAACATTATGTTGATTGATTATGATGATTTACAAAGATAAAATATTTTATATAAGTCTAATATTTGTGATACACTATATAGTATATGGATTTATATTTTGAATTTCATAGTTATATTTATATCATATATTTTATACCCAATAGTGAATCCACAAGAAACACAAATAATGATGATTATTTAGAAATAATTAATTAAAATTTATCAATGAACTCTACTTCATTAGATTACTGATCAAGAATTAAAAGAAAAATTAAAAAGTTTTTAAAAACTGTACAAAGAATTTTAAGTTTTTTAACAAAGTTAAAAAGAAATGAAAAAAGTGAAATTTACTATGATTAAAATAATTTCTAAAAACAGATTTCAGAATATTGTAGGTAGCCTAAAACTAACTTTATTCGTACGATTTATTTATTGATGGAAACTCCCCCTACGTCTGCTAGTTGTCTACTGGTTGAAGAAAATATATAAAAGATATAGAAGAAGACATTTAAAGAAAGCACAATAATAATGATAAAAACTATATATACAGTTAAGTTTTAAGAACAACTAGAAAAAGAAAAATCGGTTCTTTCGCAAGGACTTAAACATGAACCACCTAAGGTAAGGCAGAAAGTCCGATCTACGTCTGTCTAATTCATATAATGAGTGAAACTCGTATGCCCTTTCGAGTACAAATCTCGAAATCTTAAAAAACACAAACACGACACATACATACACACATATTAAATTATAACACTGTAGTGTGATAAATACAAATGGAACACCATTCTAAGAGAAACATATTGCACACATTTTGTCAGTAATTATATAATTTCGTGACAAGGTAAAAGAATAATAACTCTCTTAGAGAATTATAGATTTTAAATGAAGATATCACTCATTGGTTTTTTATGCTAAAGTAGTTTATACATTTTTTTTATCAAAATCAAAAATAAATAAGAAAAATAAGTTAATTTTGTCATCTCTGTGTTTCCATCATTTGTTTTATATTTATTATTATATAAATACGACTTTTAATTTTAATCTAAAAAATCAGGTAATAACTGATCGAACAGTACACTGAAGTAAATGTTCACAGTATACCTAACAAATACGTATAAAGTTTGTATTCGCTATGAATGCAATTTAGTTTTAATGCGAAAAATTCAAAACATAATTTATTATACAGTGTTACATCGTTTAATTAGTAGACAATAACATAATTTTAATTATTATTTTCGATGATAGAAAACATAATTCTGTATATAAATTGTTTATCATATTATATTAATTATTTTGTACAATTCAAGTTGTGAATATATGACGTACGTAATGTTTGTTCTGTCCTCCAGATTATGCCAGTATACTGAAACACATAATTAGCTGATGAATATCAAATGTTTAAATCAAGTTTGAAACCTTGCATACTTAAGCTATTATTGTGGAGTGATAAAAAAATGATTATGTTTCAGGAACCGATAGGATTGTTTTTGGAAACGAGAGTAAATAGAAATTCACCAACAAATCTGTAAACTAAATTTCATAATAATATAAAGCTTCGACTAAAGTCCTGGCAATCGAATAACTACAGTGTATATATTATACTAAATTTCGAGACACATCAATATTTGTGACTGTTTAAGAAAATATTTTTCACAATCAGGGTTGCAAATCGGGACTTAATAATATAAATTTAATAATTAATGGAACGAAGATGAATCAAGATTTGAAATCCGGTATTAAACGAGATTTGTACCAGCGGTTTGATAAACATCATACCATTTGAAGTGAAATTTTCCCTTGTGTGCCTTGCAGCTTTGGGCAGTAATTATAATAGCCCACTTGCGGAACCGATGATAAATTTACTGGGCAGTAATCTTCTCTTCAATACCCTTCGAAATTAGTTTGGTTATTGACTACATTCATTGACCTTTTGAGTGTTCGCTTTTATCACGAGACGGACGTTTGAGCATCTACTCGTATAATCCGATCTAGTGGATTTAGTTAGTCGTTGACCCTCCCCCCACCAATGGTACTTTTCGCATTAAAAGTAGCCGATCAGTTGACGCTTGTTCACATAATGCGACGAAAACAATAACGAGAGCTATACTTGAACGCGCAGGACCCAAAGAAAATCAAAAACCGATTAAAGATTTTTAAAAATCGCGTTCCGAGATGCACACCGAAAGTAGGCCGAATTAAGAATATCTTTTCAATATTCAAACGTTAAGCGACGAATTTGCTTACTGCAACAACGTTTTAGTATACGAGTGCACTGCATGTCCACACATGAAAAGATATCACAATGCGTTTATGCGAACGGTGTTTCCGCTGTTGTATGTGCTGGTCAGATTAACCAATATGTTTTTCGTCGCTACCATATACTTCCACAAATACTTAACAGGCTCAGTGACGAGCCATCTCAATGATTTTAGGAAAACACAACAGTCACCAGTGTTTGACGAATTTTGAGCTGGAGTAGCCTGTTGCTTGTCGCTACATTCAACCTTTAAAAAAAAATAAATAAATAATAAGTAATTTAAAAAATAATATTTTCGAAAGTCATGTAATAAGATCAGTAGGTGTAAATATGTAAATCGAATCATCTGATATTTGTTATTAAAACTAAACTATTATTTATAAGATATTAATAAATTTCGATACTTCGCTGTCTAAGAAATGTGTTACATTCTAATTAAAACTAATACTACTGAAGTTCGACAAAAAATCTGAATGCTACGCGATATGGAATATTTATTGTATTTTAGTTTTCACCGTAAACTAGTTAAACAAATTCGTACGACGCGTCGTAAGCACGAAAATAATAATTACCGTCACAGGTTGTTTTGCTACACTCGTGTCGGCACTGCCTGCGCTAGCTTGGACCGCATCAGGAGTGGTTGTTTCGGTTTCCGGACAAATTATAAACTGTAAACGAATACGCAATACGATAGAAATTACTAAAACGTATGAGTTGTGATCGTCTAAAGTCGACAAAAAGTGGAAAAAATGGAAACGAAAGAATCGCTGGTAATGTCTTGTATGTCTACATAAGGCTACACCTACACTGGGAACGTACTTGATTAGATTGTCGTCTGATAACGTGTCGGACGTCATACGCAGTCAAGGTAATCTCCTACACAAGTCGTCGGACGACTTCAAAGATCGCGCTCATTGTATCCGATGGGGACCTATTATAAATATTTTACTATAGTTGTCATTCAACTATCATTTGTTCGAGTTCGAACTAAAAATTAGTGACTCCAATGATGATATTTCAACCTTAAGTAAATATCTAGTGCATACTTACCATCTACTTTTAACTTTTCGCCTGTTGAATTCCATGCTGGAGTCTTCTTATCTCTATTGTGGTAATTCTTTGTCCGGTGGTCTCACAAGTCTGGACTTTCTCTCACCAGCTCAATCAAATAGCCATTATTATTTTTTTTAATGGCAAAATAAGTTTATAAAAATAATATATAATTTAAAGGGTAAAATACGATTGCGTACATTTGTCCTTTTTGGCAACACGATTCCGTATGAAACTGTATGGAACGTTGTTAAATTTACTAATTTCACCGTATTATATCTAATAAAGAAATAATATAGAAAACATATACAGTGCTATAATAGTTCATAAAAAAAATTATAATAAAATAATAAATAAAAAGAGGTTAACTAAATAAAAGAAAAATAAATAATAAATATATAAAATCGACAGTTTTAATTTGAATGAAATTATTGTTAATAAATTATTTGCTAATGCTTAAATTTGGAGTCCCTGACATCTATAAGCTGCTACTTTTAGTAGCAGCTTTAAACTCGGTAGTTATCATATGATATAACGGAAATAACGAAATTTCGTTTTATCTGATATATTTGATATCATTAACAATAAACACTCTCGTATAGGCATGTGATATAAACCAATACCGGTATGAAAATTGGTATCATCGTTTAAAACTTCGTACACAATCGTGTAGTTAAAAATCATGTAAAACCGTACGGAATCGTGTAGCTTAAAAAGGTATCGCCGATTACAAACCTACGCAATAGTGTTTTACCAACTTAAAAATTAATATACAGTTTACATAATGTAAGGATATCGGAAGACTTCGGTTGAAAAACATAATTATTTGATTTGCCTCCGACTGTCGGAATCGTTCGTCACATGTCGGCCGATTTACGTGCAGTTGTCACGTAGCACTGTAGGTTACCTAACTTTCATATGGGGATTGGTTTCCAATCTGATGTCGTACGGTATCGTGTGACGACGTCCGGCTCCGTATCGGACGACAATCGGATTAAATACGTTCCCAGTGTAGGTGCAGCCTAAAATGTACGCGCTTCTCCGGTGTGCAAATTACTATTCGTATCGACTCACGGTCGAACAAGTGTCCGTCTGGATTAACGTAGGCAGAAATTATTCGACATTTACTGCAAACGGAATGATCTTACCGTGATTGAATAGTTTTGTACAAAGAACAACTCGTATAGATTCGATCCGACCTTGTTTCGACACGTGCACGCGGACTATTCGTTATTATTATTATTATAAAGTTGTCGCAATCTAAATTGCTTGGTTTCTCATGAAATTTAGTCAGTCTATAAGACGATACTGTCGTGTTCATTTAATTGAGTCCGAGATGCGTGGTATAAAACGATTTTATCGAACAACAGGATGTTGTGCAGTCTATAAGACGATACTGTCGTGTTCATTTGATTGAGTCCGAGATGCGTGGTATAAAACTATTTTATCGAACAACAGGATGTTGTGTACGACAATACGTGCTAGACAAGTTAAATTATTGCCTCTCATGAAAAACTAGAAACTCACCCGAACTGAAGATAATATTATCAAGATCAGCGACAACAACATCCTCCACGTGAAAATCATTCCGTCGATGAGCTATATTCGAACGACAATAATATTAGGCGATACGCTTGATCCTTTTCCAACGACAAAACAAAAAAAAAGGAATAATAAAACCAGTTTTGAATATAGTATACGCATACAATTTATATTGTACAACTGTGCCGTACGCAAGTGTCACGAAAGCATGAAAACACACGAACAAATGATACGATAATTGTTAGTACGAACACTGCTACTGATATTTTATTTTGTGTTCAATTTTTTTTGTGTCGAACAGAAAAAAATAAACAATTCCAATTATGTTGATCAAGGCAGTGGCGTTTCTAGCGTACGAGCAAGGTGGCCCATACCTTAACTGTTAGCTTTAATTTGTTAAAAAGTTCAATGTCCCCCGTCCGCCATCCTGAAACGTATTATCATTATGATATCACACCGCTCACGTGCTGTGGCGCCGACGTGAACCACCACGCAGATATACACAAATATATATAAATAAATAAATAAATATATATTGTACTAAGGAAGTAGAAGAAATATTGTACGGATGTGTGACGCACCGTTATTGTTTTTGTTGATAACAATACGTGTAAATGTCAACACAACATATATTAATGGTGTGTTTACGCAGCGTCTGTAATTTCGTTTTCTACGCTACATATTGTGTTCTATAATTTTATTCAGTATTTTTTGAAGTTTTTTATTAAATATTTTTTTTTTTTTTGTATCAATCCTGTTGAACAAAAATCAATGAAGTATTTTTTTCAATATTTTAGACTGCATGAACAATGTACTGAAAATAATCAAATACCTACTACAAAATATACATTCGTGTGATCTAAATTTTAATGAATTTCATTCAAAATTGAATCCTAAAAGCTCCATATAATTATGTTTAAGGTCAGACCAACGCTAGATGGTAGGGCCTGGTATTTTCAAATTGAGTTATGACCTTATCTGTTTTGCTCATAAAACCATCACTGTCAGTATCCGCATCGGTTATAAATAATTTATTCTATAGTTTAGTGATAACAATTATTTTTGATGTACAAGGACGTATCTTGATTTGATTTTATTGGGAGGAAGGAGTCATAGTTGGTAGTTTGGCCAACTCAAAAATTTAATCCAGTACTTGTTATTGTTATTTCATCAAATCCGTGTAATAATCGTTGTCGAGATCGATACAATTTTGCATATGGTGTAGCATCTCTTTTATGCCTGAGTCATATAACTCTTCCACCGCTGAAGATGGCTTTAAACCTCTTTTTTCAACTCCTCTTCAGTTGCGATATTCGTTCCACCTAGATGTTCCGTTCAACCTTATTCGCTCAAAATCGTTATTCAATACCAATAATACAGCGATTTTAATTTTAAAAGAACTGTTCGAACACGGAACGAGTTACGATTTCTTTATGGATACTCTCCCCTCCCACGGTACCGCTCATGTGTCTCGGCCGTAAGCTTAGCTGTTGGCCGCCGAGCCTTTTTGTCTTTTTTCGAGAAGGTGTAACTGAGCATAACGTACGCGCTCCGGTTCTCCGCGTCCGGGCACTTGTGGAGATTTTTGGTTTTTCCTTGATCCACGGAGAATATACGTGGAATTGTCCAGCGAGACCTACATATTGGTGAAACCCAGGGAACATCTCAAGAGCCGTGCATTAGAAACCCGGTCACAATTTTTATTATTTAGCCCCACGTGGTCAGTGGGCCGATCAAAACTGGTTTTATTATTGTATACGATATATTATTGATGTTAATTAGATCTTACGATTAAGTTTTATTTGGGCGCCCGCTAATTTATTATTTATTATTATTTATTATAAAAATATACGTGTTTCCGACCTAAATATCGTGCTGTCGTGGTTAACCCTCCTGCACTCCCGTCCTCAACACAAAACGCAAGTCGTTGCCGACAACCGCCATATTTGTAGGATCGGTAGCGGCGCAACCAAGAACAATATTATTAAATCAGTCATCTATCTGTGTATTTCATTCGATCCCTGTGAACAGTAGTGGCTCATGAGTTTTTAACGAAGAAGAGTACATTTAAAAATATAAATTCTATACTTTTATTTTTTAAATTAAAAAAATTACAAAAAAAACATAGCCATTGAGACCACTGTAAAGTTCGTTTCGAATGTTTTAATAATGTGTGTTGGATACAAATGTCGTGAGAGGATCGCGGCGTATTGGCCTCCTGCAAACTTGGTCGATAACATGATCGATTTCTTGAGAGGGGGTAGTTAGCTGTGCTGTTTTCCGATGGCTAGCTTGCCGCCCGCTTCCAGGACCGGTCTGTCATCGGTCGTCTGCACGTTCATCATCACCGTCGTGTGCTTATGAAGTTTTCGATCGCCATCGTCGCGCTCGTGTTAGCCATTGTCGCACAGTTGTTTTTTTTTTTTTATTATCGTTCCGCGAGTGTTTTATTTGTTCGCCGACGTCGTGTGCACCATTAATCTCGTCATCCGAACAGTTGAGAATTCCCGTATTTCGGTTTGTGTCCTTGTGACGTTATCGCCGGGTGCCGAATCAACAATTTTCATTCGCATGTGAAAGCGGCGCCCTCTACATACGCGACAAGGAACCTTCCGACTGTTGCGACAGGTTGGCCATCGACCATATCGTTACCAAACTTCAATTTTGCGTTGGTATAACCAGGTCGTACATCGTTATCAATTTGTTATTTATTATTGTTATTCTTTTATTACTATTAATTATTATTATTTCGGGCGACCATATGTGGTCGACTCACTTAGTCTATAAGTTCATGATATATATATTGTCTTCTGTTTTACGATCATCTAATATAATTTACAATTGTTATATTTATTATTTATTACTCTAGTTGGTTACCTCACCTTCATCCACATCACTTTCAAACCTAACCATACAGTCCACTCTTTCTCTCACTCTCTCAGGTTTCTTTCAATCTACACATTATTGATATTAAATTAATGTATTATTAATTATTATTTAAAAAAAAAAAAAGTTGAACAATTGACTATCATTTAAATAAAATGTTATTGATTATTATTAGGGCTCGGATTTTAAAGCATAATAAATAACAAAAAAAGCACAAAATTGTTTAAAAAAAAGCAAAAATGAAGCATATTTATTTTTAAAAAAAGCAAAAAAAAAGCTCGACTAAAAATTAACACGAATTAGTTATAATTTTATAAAACTGAATAAAAAAAAAAATTGAAAAATTAATTTAAATTAAAAAAAGAATTTACTACCATGTATTTGGTAAGATTTTCAGAAGTGAAACTGACTCTATTGTCTGACAGGATGTTTTTATACATCGAAAACGAACGCTCTACATCCACTGAAGTGATCGGTGCATACTTCATGCAAGAGGTTTCGTTTAAATCAAACCCATGATAAATAATTTCATCTGATGAAACGCCACACAGTATAGTATTAATGTCCAGTAATTGTTTCCAGCCTTTTTTTTTAAAAAGAACACGATTTAGTTTACCAGAAATAGCAGTTGCAATATCTGCATGAGCTTCATTTAACTTTTTTTCTGCATCTAAGACGATATTTATACATGTTGTCAACGATTCGCCTAAAATTATACATATAATTTAGTATTATGATGTTAAATTGTTTAAATACTTTGTTAAAAGTTACCTTTTCCCTCTAATGTTGTAATAATATCTGGTAGAAATCCAAAGTTGGTTGAAATGTATACAATATTTGATTGAAGAGATACATTTTGAAATAGTTGTTTCACTATCTTAACACATTGAGATTCTTCTTCGAAGTCTTCAATTACACTTTTTATTTCATTAAAATATTTGCAATAATACTGGACAGCTTTTATCCATGTACCCCATCTGGTCGTTATTGGTCTTGGTGGATTTGGCAATTCAGGGCATTTCTCATTAAAGATTGCTGTACGTTTGGGACATTTTAAAAACGTTTTTTTTATTCCTCCAATCAACTGATCTACATATTGGTAGTGTGCACGTATTTCTTCGCAAACATTGTGTAATGCATGTGCCAAGCAAGTCACATGTATGAGTTTTGGGTAAAGTGCTTTTATACAATCACCAGCTTTTTTCATATAAGGCGCCGCACCTGAGACAAATAGCAAAACATCGTTATGTTTTACACCATTTCCCCACAAAATATGCATAGCTTTATCGAATAGTTGGGATATTGTACTATGATTCACTTTCTCCAAGTATTCTGTGTGAATAACGTACATATTACTTGGATTTTGTAGTTGTAATGTGCCCACTATTACATTTGCAACATTACGACGTACAGAGTCCGAGTCTCATCAATAGACACCCATATTTTTTGGTCTGTTATTGTATCACGAATTTTCGCCAATGTATTTTCATAGCATGAATTAAAATATCCTTTACGTAATGTCGACTCGTCAGGAATAGTTTTTTTGCAATATTTTGTTAAAAATTCACGAAAATGTTTATTATTTAGTTTATTCATTGGAATATTTGCAGCTACCAATGTTGAACATAAATCGGCATTAAAATCTGATTGACTACTAAACTGTTGTAAAAATGGTTGAAGTAATGCAGACTTTTCATTTTCGTGTCTTTTAACAGCTTGAACATGTTTTTCTCTCCGTACATGCTGTTGTATATTATATTTTTTTTCATGTGACACTTTTGTTTCACAAAGTTTGCAATATAAAATCGATCCATCTGTTTGAAAAATTTCTTCACCAAATTCTAACACTAATTGTTTTAAAAATGCATTCGTTTTGACTTTTGGCATTTTAATAAATTACAACACTATAAAGCACTATAAAACTTAAATTTTAAACACGTCTATATCGATGTTATACTAGTATTGAGCGTAGGTTCTACAAACTATATGCAATAGTCGATAAGCTATCGACCCATAAGCTATCTGTAGATCGATAATCTATACATTTAATGACGTTTCGCACTAATGGTACGGTCACGGTCATTATTGCGGGTTTTCACATTTCTTATTAAGTAAATAAACACTTTTATTTTATTTTCATAGCATAACAAACAAATAAAAATTCCACAGCTTGAATAACTGAAAAAAGCAATAAAAAGCAAAAAAAGCATTTATACTAAAAAAAGCAAAAAAAAAGCAAAAATAAATTTGTTTATTTCGAATCAGATTAACGTGAAACGAATTTATGTATAAAAATTAGATTTCTATCTTAAATATATAAAAAGAAGCATTTGCTTTAAAATCCGATCCCTAATTATTATTATTACTATTATTATTTTTATTACAATTATTATTATTGTTATTTGAGAACAAAATATATTGCTTTATTATAATTATCTTAAAACGAAATAACATCCGGATAATAAAGGGTTTGTACAACAGAGGTTCAAATAATCTGTACTAAATATGAATACTTTATATGTGTTAACTAAGTTGTTACTGTAAAATGTTTACGCAGGCAAATTTGGAGCAAATGGGCTGTCGGAAATAACATAATTTTTTTATTTTGGCGCAAATAGGCTGTACCAAAGCGAATTAATTTTTTTTTTATGCAAATGGTTAACTTTCAATTTTCTTATATACACACTGAAGTCAAAGGTCACATAGTGATGTGTCAAAGTCATGGCATATTTTACCACGATACTTTCCGTCATCATTTATAATAATTCGCACTTACTTATTATCATTTTTTTATTTAAAATATATTTATTTTTATATTTTTTAGTTTCAAACAATACAGATTTTTTCTATGATTAAATTTTGTGAATGTTTCATTAATCCTAGATAACCGAGTTGACGTACATTATATATTTTACATAATATGTTCATTGCATTATTTGCCTTATGAATTCCATAATGTGCATGGTTATACTTTCGGTCCCAGTTCTCCGAACCTTGGCAAATAGCTTATTAGGATTACTTGACATTATGCATTCAGGATAAACAATTTTTTTTTTTTTGTCTCGTTTAATTGATTAATTACGGAACTATATAATGAAATCTTATTGTTTATCTATTCAATTAATATTATTCAATCAGATTCGTGTTTACGTTGTAGATTAGGTCATATGTATTTTGTAAATTGTAAGAACATTTTATGCTTTTAATTTACTTTGTTGAACTAATTAGTTTAACACCGTATGCGATTTTTATATTCATGTTTTTTATCCTTACGTTAATTTCGGAAAATATTTCTTGAATTATGAGATCATATTTAATTTGAAATAGAAACTAAATATTAAAAAAAAAAAATTACAAAAATAGTTTAAAATTTCACATATCTTGTATCATATCATGATTTAGGTAACATTATCATCAGTATAAATTGAGAAAACAATGACTTTCTATTTAATAAATAAGAAACGATTAAATTATATCACATTACATTAATAAATATATATTTAATAGTAACACATAATCTCATCTCTGTTATTATTTTTTTTTTTAGTCTTCACTTATTTTGGATGAAGTAGAGCTATTCCCAATAGTTTTTCCAATCGAATTCCATAAAAATCTTAGGGGTGAACAGATCGCTTTAAAAGATTTCTTTATAGTATTACCAACTCCGCTAGACGTCTCCGTATTTTCCTTTATTTTTTCTAGATCTTTTTGAACATTCTATTGAAGATAAAATAAAAACATATTAAACAATTTAATTGTATGCTATTATATAACTCATAGATAGAACTATACAATTGAAAGCATTAATTTATTATAATTAGATAGTTTGTACGATCTAATTAAATTGCACACAACATATTTTTTTTTTTTAATATTTTAATTGCACGTATAAAAAAAATGTATGGTTTAACTGCAGTCGAATATACGAATAGGTATTATTAACTTTACATATTATTTAATTAACAAAATATATTGACAATCATAATAAATCATTGCTCAACGCCTAAGCTTCAGTATAGTGACCGATTATTTCTAAAATTACAGATTAGGAAACATGTATTTTACCATGTTTCTAAAATAGTTGAAGTGTTAATTTCGTTGAATTAAAAATTATTATATAGACGAACACGTAATGAAAATTATGTAAAATAACTTTGATAATATTTCTAATGGTAATCATTCGAATTATTAAAATTTCAATGTTTAAAATCATTCATATTATAATTATTTGATCAATTTCAACCATTTTATACACATTAAAAATTTTGAAAAACATTTTATATATTGAAACGAAGTCTAATTGGCTTCATGTTTCGTTCGAATTCTTTAGATCGTTTCCTCGATTATTCGGTGCAAATCACCCAATTCAGATTCTGAAACTCAGTCGTTTACTAGTACTGGGCCATGCATTATTACATGCTACATCAGTAATAGTCCGTAATGGAAATATTTAAATACTGATTGTTTATAAAATCTACCTCTGAAGTTGATCTTTCCACAGTAGTAAATTTCTTCACTACGGGTTTGGCCACAATCGTTGTCACTTCTTCGCTCGTTTCGTCGCTCCCTTCGCCGTTAATGAACTATAGTTTTGACAAAAACAAATAATTTAATTTACCTATAGTTCTGTAACGAATCACCTGGATACTTGAACTAGTGTCAGATTTTCTATTTGTAGAAAAAATCGAGCTGTAAAACAATCGAACGATAATAACATACGTTTTCGAAATGTTATTCGATTTTACGTGTACAAATAGGACGTAAGATAATATACCTCTAGGAGTATTGGTAGCCATCTTACCTAATAAGTAACGATTAACATTTGAAAAAAAAAACAAATCTATCATGATTTTAAATATTGAATTCTGATTTCTAAGTATTGGATGACGGTTTTAAAAAAATACGCGACAATCGAGACTGAACCATCGATCTGTACAACAAAGTTAACAATACGAAGTGAACGTCTTAGATTTTAAAATTAGTGATATCGTTCCACAAGACCCATCGTCTACAATGAAGAGATTGTTTTATTTTTTTATCTCTATTGAAATCGTGCTTTTAAAATGAATAGAATATGTAAAAAAAAAAAAAACAGTCTCGACCGATGAAAAAATCGGTAAATTAAAATATTATCAATTGTTATAATCTATTAATAATCAAACGACTTATCAATTTTAAGCCACAGAAAAAAGGGGAAAATGAATATATTGAAGCATGAAATCACTTATTCTATGATTATTAATTACTGTAACGAATAGTGAACTTTAACATAATTAAATCGGAGTGAATATACACGCAAGCTCATACATATAATTTTACCCGCATTCAGTTCGTTCCAATTCGTCGTATACTTCGGAATAAAAAACATACTCACTTTGGCAAAGGCAAAAACCAAAACCATTGATATTAAAAAAGTCTTTGTGAAAATCATTTTGGCCTTATACTTTTTGACTCTACCAAATGAACTGGACTCGTAAAAATGGTTTCATTGACTGACGACAGACAAATGAAAAGTCTTATTATTTAGTTCTACCATTATCTGTGTTATATTATTCTCCTTTTATTATTTTCACGCAAAATATAATTATGCACAAGTGGCGCCCAAGCACAAATTGTTCATGAAAAATTGTTGGTAAATTATTTTACCGATTCAATAACGAATACAAAAATTTAGGATGAAAACAACAACATTTAAAATTATAGGTACCTAATTATTGTTTATTATTTTCATCAGAACCATACTGCTAAACGGTTCAAAGTGCCAATAGTTCGACTGGAAAATATATGTGTAACAACATGCAGATTACACGTAATAACGAAATTAATTTTGTAAATAGTATACGTTTGTTTTGGGTTTCATACGGATAACTACATAGGCGTTAACCATCAAACGTAGTATATATGGAAATAAAATATGTTGGTTGAATTTTAGTTAAATTGTTCGTATTACATTTAAGGGTTCTATGTAAGCATGAAATATGTAAGCCAATCACGTGTAGGTTGAGTAGAACGAGTGTAACTAGCAGTGGCAAGGCGAACATTTTTTTAAACCCAAAGCTAAGTACATATCTAAGTATCCATCTCCCAGGGGCAGTTCTAGAGGAGCCCCAATGAGGGGGATGAAATTGTTTTTCGTACACCCAACTTGTTTTTTTTCTTTGTTAAAAGTGTTTGTTAAATGATTCATACAATAGCGGCTTACACATTAACTAACCGGTGAAAATCTAGTAAAGGTGCCCACCTTTTTCTTAAAGCTTAGCAATTAGGGAAATGTCGTTCGCCACTGATAATAATTACTTTACAAATATTAACATACACTTGTTTTTAATAGCAACAGCTATTATTTGTTGGTCAGGTTGGTCTGCTATCTCTATGGAATACGTATCAGAATTTCCAGACCTGATGAAAATAATTAAATTAATTTTTTTTTGACATGCGCATCCATGTGTTTTTCAGCAGTTGTTTTGTGCGGAGCACAATATTGATTAATCGTGTTCACTTTTTGAGCATTAACTCGCCAATAACTGATTTCTAATGTTTCACTTTTGGGTTTCATTTAAAGTACAGTGCATATTTGATATACCAAATTATTTCCAACAGTAACCACGTAAGTTGGTCATTACCGGTTCGATTCGCAAATCTAATGTTCGGATATAGTATAATAATAATAATATAGTATAATCGTAATTACACTCAATGTTACCACGGGATCAGACGAACTGCACATTGTGATTGGTCGTAAAATGTCAACGATAACATATCATAAATCACAATCGTTTTGTTTCTGTTCGTGTACATGTTATTATGAGTTACACATCTGGCACTTGGATCAAAAATGGACAATCTCACTTTTGATCATGCTCTGATAAACTTTTACCGTTAAAAAAAGTGTACGACATTTTATATGATGACCGAAGAACTCGTTTTCGCCAAAAAGTGATATTGACCTTTTTTATCCAAGCCCCATTAATATACAATGTGTACCTACGAATGGGTACAGATAAGTTGCGGCTCGACATGTTATTAACGTGTTGAAGTCCGGTGAATTGCAGTCCAGAGTTAATTCGCCATTCCATGTCCATTGGTTTAACGTGCTCTCCTACTAAAGTTGTTATAGATTTTTAACAAGCTATCCACAGTGCTGTAGCAGAAGTCTTCCCTAATGCAAAAACAAGAGGATGTCGATTTCACTTAGGGCAAAGTTGGTGGAGGAAAATTCAAAATTTAGGACTCACGAAAATGTAAACACAAATACAGATGAAAGTTATTATTTCAAACTTTTTTTGTTTGCTATTTTTGGATTCTGACAACGCCATTGATTGTTTCACGGATGACTTTTTAGCAATACTGCCCGCTAAAGATGATCGGGTTATACAATTCATTGACTATGTTTTCGAAAACTATATATCCCCGGATGCCATGTGTCCCCCAAATTCATCGTTCTACTCTAGTTATTCTAACATCTATAATTTTATTGCCGTGTTAGTAGAAATTCAATCAGAAATGTGTATAAAATGTAGAAGCAATGGAATAAAAACGAAGAAATTATGCGAAAAAAAAGAATTTATAAGACAACAGATGACAAAGCCAGCACAAAAAGAAATAGAGCAGTTTACTTTCGTTAAATCATTAAGTTTTAATTTTTTGCCCAACCAATAATATAAAAAAATTAATTTTACCATAAATTGCCATACATTTTGCCATTTTTACATAAATAATAATAAAAAATAAAAAAAAATAAATTTTTGGGAGACGATTCAGCCAACCTCCTCGTGGTTTTTTCTGAGTAACGCTGATAGGCTAATATGAAGTGATAAATAAAATGTGGTCGCAACTTGTACATCTGTTTCATAAACACGGGCCGCAACTCGTACTTAATTCAGGGATTGGGCCACAATTCACCAACACTGCTACGAATTACTTTCGTACGTCACCAATCAAGTATGAGCACTTACTGGACGCAAAACGACATACTCGTATACTATATGATATTAGGGCTACACACGAATTTTCCATTTATTTAGAAGGTAGTTAAAATTGCCCTGCTCCATTCGTATCCAGTTTAGATTGGTCCATAGAGCTCTTGGGCAGTCAAACCCTGGGACTCTTTGAGTATGGTCACTTATAAGGAGATTATTTTTTTACCAGTTTTTTTAATTTTATATTTATAATTTTTTTTTTTTTTTTTACTATTGTTCATTTTAGTTATTATATTACATTTATATAATTTAAACCTACCCATTTTCATTTTATTTATTTCTTATTGCATAACAACAATAAAAATTAATATTTTTAACCTACCGATAGTCATGATTTGCCAACGATCGACCTGTCAGTACAAAATGGAAACAAAATAAATGTTTTTACGTTGGGACGCAATTCGTGTTGTAGTTAAATATGGTCGAGACGAAATTCATGTGAAAAAAGAAATTTCGGGACGCAATTAATTTGCAGCGGATAACTTTGCACTAGCGACCATCCGTTTGGATCGTAAGTGATAAAAAAATGGAAATCAAATTCATATCGATCAGTAGACGCTCGGTGTAGGTAGTTGTTTCAATGCTTTACGGTAAAATGGTCTCATCGCACGGCAGCCATGCAGTGCCTCGTGTAATCTTCGTAGCCTCCTTGTTCTTAAACGAAAACCTCGGTCCCATGTTGGTTTTTAACACGTAGAATTGACCCGTTCGTCCGTCTGTCGTGTACACGTTGGCACGAACGATTGTTAAATCTCATTATCGAACCGGTCGGGAATATTATTGACCTCAAGATAAAAAGGGATAAATCAACACATTGCTCTTCAAAAGCACTCGGCGTATACGGGTCTCAAATCCTCGTGTTATGGTATTATGATTGGTTGGCGATTAACATTATACGCTAGAATAAAAAACGACACATCGAGTAATGCACGTTAGGGTCAAAAAAACGAAAAACAACGTCAAAAATGTCGTTTAAATAATACCGTCATGGTAAATTATATTGTTTTATGAACATCAAATCGCTACGGTACAGAAGTGTAATACTTTGTAACATTTAAGTTGAGGTTAGTTTATTCGAAGAAGCATTTTTACTGGCGTTTGTAAATATGCTTCTGAATCTCGACAATAGTCCTTGTAAAATCCGAAAGCCTCCAGAAGCAATACTCGATACGGGCTTGATGGCAGCTTTACTTAAACTAGACAGCCTTGAAATTCGTTTTGGTTTAACCTCTCTTGACGCAAACCCAGCTTCCTATATATTATGCAATATAAAATAATGTTATATATATATGTATATTAAATATTTCAAAACGTATATCAATTAATTTATATTAAACTAAGCAACAGATCTTCAAAAGAAATCAATAATAAAATATCTAAAATATGCTCACCCATTAATGGATAAGAAGGTTGTAAACTTGCATAATAAAACAACGTGGTTGTAAAATTATTAATTTGCAACAAAAAAAATGTCCGTATTTGTGATTTTTCGCTTTTGAAATGAGACAGTCATGGTTTGAAAATTTTTTATACGTATGGATAAAAGATTATACGTATTTAGATACACCAATACGTTAATTCGTGGTTGTAGATAAGTTACTTATCTACCATATAGTTACTCTGTGTAATCTAAAACCGTCATCGTGCAACATTATACGATAATGGAATATTCGCACGAGGTACACATATAAATCGCACAACGTAGTAAGAATATTTACTATTACAATTTACAGCTCAATAATTAATTTCATATATCTATTATTTTAAAACTAACTTTAAAATAAATTATAATATATTATCCATCTTGAATGAAATAAATTTAATATTATATTAAAGTATTTTTTGAAGGCAATACATATAATAAGAAGTATAGGAGATGGTAGGTAGCATTAGTGAGAATATATATTTTTTCAATGTTTATTAAAATCGAAAAACATCATCACATCGATGATTATTTCCCCATACATGGATGTTATTGATGTTTTAAGAGTCGATGTATCGTTACATCGAAAATCGATGGTCAAATAATTTTTCCCATCGCAAGCGGAAAATATCTGTAATCTATGGGAATTAATAATGAAAAAAAAACTTAAAGACCTAGATAATAACATAGAATTTAGCAGTAAAAGAAAATGCCAATTGGGTGTAGGTTGGAAGAAAAAATATGTTAATACAAGATATAAAGAAAAAATACCTTAAGGGTGGAGAGATGAAAGAAGATGAAGTGTCGAGGAGCTAGATTAGATAGTTGGTTAGTATGAAATGCGAAAAAGCAAGGTAAATAGGACATTGTGTGTGAAAATGTTTTTGGAGAAGTGACAGAGGAAATAGATGGGTTAAAAATGAGACCAAAGTAAGGCATATCGTAGCGCGAGAGTGGAATTGGTGAGCTAAGGTTGGAATAATAGAGAGCGATGCAGTGACTGAGGCTTGAATGAGAACAAATTTCGAAATTTATTTCCAGGAATTTTCGATTATTAAAAAAATCTGTAAAAATTGAAGAAATGTAAGTGGACACGGGATTCCAAAATTCAAGTTTTTCGAGTTATCGCGACTCAGCTATTTATATGAAGCGCTATATCGAATTTTATCTGGTGATTTTTCAGATAACAGTTTAAATCTCATTGATCTTATAGAATCTTATAGACTTTTGCACATATAAGTACATATAGGTAACTAGGTACATACGAAAACCAGAAACTAACTGCTAAACATTTTTATTTTCCGTTTTTCTTTCTATCAGCAAACCCAATTTGGTCGGAAAAAATAAAAGAAATAAGAACACACAATGTGATTGATAATGTTTTAAGCACTATTAAGTCGTAGTAATATAACTATTATTTCTAAAAAGAAACATTACCGGTTTGATCGTTGAAGAATTATTATTATTCGCACTGACGGATTTGTTTGAACTGGACTTCATTGTACCATTATGGTTGGTTGAAACTGGACTACGAGACGTTTTTGATGCAGTTTGTACGAATTTGACACCGTTTGTATTGTCTGGCCTACAAGATATGCACTATAAATTCAACAAAAACGAATTCCAATACGTTAGAACAGAATTAGTCGTTAAACCGAGGATTTGTGGTGGCGAACGCGGATGCATTAAGTATAACCTAACTAAATGTATATACCATTTATATACAAGACTAAAAATAAAATAATCTATTCATCGTTCAATTACCACTGAAACAATTTTTTTGTATTTTATTTCAGAAAACAGTATTTTTAAATCAGCGTAAAGAAGAGTATTACCTCTCTCTCTCTCTCTCTTCACCTGGTACCTGCTATATACCCTACACTTATACAGAGTTGTAATTTTGATTATGACTCTGTCGGCAGCATGTTTTATGTTCCTTATGGCGTTCGATCGTCTGACCCAAAGTTTTTCAACCATTGTATTTTGGATTTGACAAAATATTTTATATCTCAATTATAATTCACCATTGACATAATAATGATAATTGCCTCACTAGTGTAATATTAATTGCTTATTTATTCGTATTCATGAATTTGGGACGAAGCGGCGAACCGGTTTTTGTGTTGTTACCGATCAATATCGGATTTCCGGTCGCAGAACAAAGAGATCCAGATGATGAGGAAAATTGGTTATTTAACAAAAACGATCAGAATTTCACGAATAATGTATTACGTAGTTACTATACTCGACCTAGCAACATACCTATTACGGTAAATCGTTTAGAATTACACTGCAAACATTATTATCACACAAAGTTCTCGAGTTCTTTCCATTATTTATTGTCAAAAAAGAGCGTATTTGAGCGCTTACCGAAGGTACTTATCCAAATTATATTTGAGTTTTGTAGAAGTGTTTCAAGTTCTAATCTATCGACTGGCTCAATCATTTTTGCTCATATAAATATATATATATCTGAATATCCCAAAATCACAAGGAACACCCGCCCACTGAAAATATGATTCATAGCAACTACTACGCTCGAAGGGTAATTTAAGTAACGTTGTGTCCAATTAAAATTTAGGTAGTTATTATTATGAATAAGTAATGTTGTTTTAAATAATAATTAAATAATAATGATAGTCATATTATGAGCAATTTTATAAATAATGTTTCATCATGACAGATGTAATTTTTCATAAAAAAAATTAAAAAAGATATACCAATAATATGCATAATAACTACATTACGTGAATTTATCACACATTTAAAGAAAAAATAAACGGTAAAAACTCACGTGGACTAAGGAAACTATAACGATCGATAATATCAAAAATTGCTTGGAAATCATTTTGTAGTTTTTGAGCTTTTTCAACTATAACGACATTAGTAATAATGTATTTAAAAAAAAAAATTTATCCTCGACTGAAACAGATAACAATCACTTATGGTGTTTTATGTTTTTAACTTGTATGATGAGTAATTAGATACATGTGTTGAAATGTCATAAAAAAAACAAATCAGTCGCAGAACTAATAACAACTATTATAATAATTAAGAGAAAGAAAACATTTTGTACATTGTATAATTGCGATTTTTTTTTTCCTTTATAAATATTATTCAGTCTAGAAACCGTTGGAAGGCAAACAAATTATCCCAATTTAAATATGAATACAATAGCAATCGGAATAAAGTTATGAATATTACTCGTTACGAAATAATAACACACACAAACACACACACGCATGAACGCACGCACGCACACACATATATATATATATATTACGGTATATATTACATTAACGTGGTGAGTCATTTCTCGGATAATTGTTAAACATTGTAAAAGACATTGATTATATTTAATGCAGTTTGACTAACATATGATTGAACAAATCACACTAAGGAAGGTACAGATTTCGATTTCGTGAGAGGAACATGCAAAACTAAATATTTAAATATCTTATATTTTTCAATTACGTCTCAGTAAGGTTATCATGCCGCGTGTCGGTGCGAGTTTGGTTCATGGTAGGGTGACCAGTTTTACAAAAAAAAAAAAACGGGACAATCAATTTTTGATTCAAACACACATAAACATACACATTTTTTTTTTAAATATTTCTTATATTTTATAGTTACAATTAAAATATTTTTTAACTACCTTGTTTAATATTTTGATAAAAAAATGATGTCGATTGCTCATCATGTCTTTTATTATCTATTGCAGTGCCGTTACTATACTTTAGCGATGAACTGATTGCGTTTAATAATTTTGGTTGTTTTAACAAAAAATCATAAAAATCATCACACGAATATTTTTTGAAATGATTTTTCAGAATTGTAATTGATTTGATGGTAGGAACGAAAAAGCGATTTTTTTCGTCCGTCCATAACATATTAGTAATGGAAAATACTCTTTCAATTACAGCATTTGTTCCAGGCATTGCTAGAGAATATTCAACAATCTTCTAAAAATTATTTATCGATATATTTTTACTATTTAAAATTTTATAGATAGCACACCATCTTTCTTCAACACGAACATAATTATTCTGCCATTCTTTTAAATTTTCATTTATAACATTAACTACATGATTATATTCATCAAAAAGAATATCTTCATCCACATTCCAACCTGTTTATTTTTTATTATTTTGCAAAATAAATGTTAAACTTTTTTGAATATCATTCCATGTTGGACAATTTATCAGTGAAATATTTTTAGTTCTTCAAATGAATTTCCCCACTTTACAATGTACAACAAAAATGTGTTATAAAACTGGTTAGTTTGCTCTATAAATTTTTTTTTTTGTGTATTTATTTTTTTTTTTCTAGTTCTAAAAGCATCGAATTTACATTGGAAGTTAAAAAGTGTTTTTCTATTTTTTATTTTTCCACATAGTATTTCTAATTCTTCTGATACTTCACATGCAGATATGTTGTCCCATTCTATTCTTTTTATAGTGTCACAAACGACTTTTAATTGACTTTGTATAAAATGAAACCATATTATTGCAACGGGGCCACTAAAAAATGATTTTAAAATGGTTGGACATTTATCCTGAGTGTCAAAGTACAATTTTAAAAATGGATACATTTCAATAATTCTAGAGACTGCTGGTTGTAAGGATAGCCACCTTTCTTTACACTTCCAAGTACGTTTTTGTATTGTGTATTTGTAAAATCACACTTTTCCAGTATAAATATAAAAGTATTGAAATATTTTGTTAACGATACATTCGATATCAATAGGTAAAATATCTGTACTAGTTTGCGTTGTGCAGAATATGAGCTGCACAACCCATTTCAGTAATGTTAGTCTTTAAATTATTATTCAAAATCGTAAAAACATTTTTTGTTCCTCTCCTTGCAGCATCTCCGAAATTAGTATTATAGTTGTCACCGGTAAATTCAATAATTTTGTGAGATAATTTATTTTTGTTAAAATTTCCATAATATAAAATGACAAAATATCTGAAGTTTCTTCTTTCAAATTTGTGAATTCTAACACTTTTATTTGAACTCCTATTTTAGGATCAAAATAAAGAATAAGAATGAGGACAATTTTTAAATTCTTATGATTTGAAGTGTCAATCATAACTGTCGCCAAATTAACAGCCTTTAGTTCGTCCATTATTTGATCAATTGCAGAAGGAGCCAATACATTTAGAATAATTGATTCACACTAAGTGTTGGTACCAAGTCTTTTTTTTCATATAACTTTTTTATTAAAGTAGTAGTACAATCCATTGACCTAAAATAATGGTTATGTACTATAGTGTGAAATGCAAACATTCCCTCTTCTGCTGCAATTTTTAACCCTTCACTAGTTAAGCCAGCTGGTCCTTGTTTAATAAAATATGAAGTTACCTTGTCACTTTTTGAAACACTAGATAAGGCCGATGTATGTTTTTTCTTTTCTATATGCTGTTTGATATCTGAGCGTCCTCCATGTTCGATTGAAAATACTGCCTTGCACATCGTACAAAACACTTTTCCAATTTCTTCACAATTTTTTAGGAAAGTAAATTCAGACTGTAAAGATACAGTGAACGTACATCTCCTCTTTGGCATTTTTAAGAAAAAATAATGCACCAACTCACAAAATTTAAAGAAAAAAGACAATACGTAGTGGCTATAATAAACACAATCGCTTTACTGTTCGTACGTACGATTACAATGGTAATCCAAAAGAAAAAACCAATTGGAAAAATATTTTATTATAAAATAAAATTAATTATATTTATTAATTACTATTTACTTGTATAACTTGTAAGGATACAAGAAATTCTTAATCAATAGTTTTTAATAGTATATTAGCTTACGTTGCAGTGGAATCATTTCAATTAGGAATATTTTCTGTACCTATGATTCAACTACGAATACAAATAGTTCAATGAAATCTGTTACCGCATCATAATGCTGTACCCATCGTGTAGCACACAATCTTTTTAAAGTTTTAACCTTAGGATCCTCATTACTATTTTCAATGTTGGTTAAAAGAAAATTTTGACAATTTGGTGTATAAAACATAGAAGTTTACGGATAAATATTTATAACCTGGTTTTTTTTTTTAGTTTCGTAATAATTTAAAAGTTTGTATTTGAGTTATTTGTAGGTTTAAGACAATATATAAATACAGCTCATGGGGGGGATCTATCCCCCATATCCTCCCCGTAATTACGCTTCTGTACAGACGGGAACTCTTGAGTTGGGTCCCCAGATATTTGATTGTTTAAAAAAAACACGAGTTAGGTCCGCGGTGTTATTTAATAATATTCGAATTTGGTCCATGGTCACATTTGATTATACGTGAATCGGGTCCACGGTTGATTTTATCTTGTTGTTATCTTACTCACTTAACTCAAGTTTTCCTAGTGACAGATGTGTATTTTAAATTTCTTCCAAAATATAAACTATATAATTATAAATAAATTATTAGTGATAAAAATAAAAATAAATTAAAATTTGATCTAAAATCAAGCCAATTTAATAATCATTTTTCACACAAAAAGAAATTATAATTGAATAATAATTTTAATATTTTAATAATGTTTACATTAGACCGTTACCTTTGTATAACAAAAAATTAAATTTTTTGGAAATTTTCTTTCTAGCCAACCTCCACATGGTGTCTTCTAGGTATCGCTAATAGGCTGGTCCCAACTCATGTACTCGATAAAATTTATGGGGCCCAACTTATGTACTCAATAAAATACGTCAGGATACAATTCATATTTTTTTTTAAATTTAGGACCCACTCGAGATTATCCTCACATACTATATTATTATGTACAAAACAGCGAGCGCATGCAAATTCCGCCCGGGTAGAACACGATTGCGTATTGTAATAACCCAACAACACAAAGTTAAAATAAAGGGGGAAAATAGTATATATAAATGGTGGTGGGATATGTAAATGTGGGTTCTTACCTTCCTCCTTGTTTAAGGAAGGGCTCTCAGGGTGTGAAGGTTCGAGAGCCGATCAACGTGATTGTACAGTCTGCCAAGCTAAATAAAGCAGCACTTAATTGTTAGACCTTCAGATATTTAACGCGAGGTTGAAAAAAGAGGACAAATGCAGAATTCAATTGCACTGGAACCGGATACTCTTCAACATTCGTACGAAGAACACAAGTAGAACGGATTAAAATCACAAGTCAAATAAATCACACGTATAAACTCTCTCGTTAATCGTATGATTGGTGCGGTGCGGTGCGCACGTACATACGACCAAAAAAGAGTTGCTTCGTTGATCTTACAATCAGTGTGCATGCACTGAAGACCTATGATCAAGAGCTCGGAGTAGGGTAGTGTGTGTCTCTGTTATATAGGGATGTATGTCGGCATGAATCTTGGACGGTCCTTTAAAGATTAGTCTTTATTTTTCGATTTGTGTTATCCGTGCGGGTATCGAAGGAACCGTTATTTATTTAAAATGGTTTAAAATCACGTACATACAAATAGTATATATAACTATAAAATATTTGTGCTGTCTTTTACAATGTAATGCACATCGTTACAGTACGTTTGTCCTTTTTGGCAACACGATTGCGAATGAAATCGTACGCAACGTTGTCAAATTTACTAATTTCCCCGTATTATACTTAATAAATATAGAATACATATAAATTCATATTATACAGTTTTATAATAGTTCATAAAAAAATGAATAATAAAATAATAAATAAAACGAGGATAACTAAATATAAAAAAAGTAATTAATAAATAAAATTGACAGTTTTTATTTGAATGAAATTATTGTTAATAAATTATTTGAAAATGTTTAAATTTGGATTCCTTCACATTTATAACTAGGGTCCGGATTTGTATGCACTTAAAAACCTTAAAATAGTATGCATTTATGCATCAAAAAAACCTTTAAATATGCACTAGATATGCTCTTATTTTTTTTAAAAAATATGCAAAAATATGCTCTTACCTAAAATATATGCATTTATAATTTTTTTTTTTAATTTTTTCTTTATATATTAATAAATAATAATTAATACAACATAATCAAACAAACTTAATTTTTTTATTACCGGCACTGCGACATCAACTTACAACATTAATTAAAGACAAAAAATGTTTAAAAATTACATTAAATTAATAAAGTGCACTTACATACAGTATTACATACTGTAATAACATGCTAATAGATAGGGTTGGCTTGGTGTATCACATTCTAAAACGCCAACTAATAAATTTGCTATTTAACGGCCGTTTGTATCAGTTGTTTCGTCAACAGCAATCCAAATATCTGAATTTCCAATAATTTCTCGGATTGCATTTATAACATTATTGTAACATGGACCAAGATAATTTTTTCTAAGTGTACTTTCATCGGGAATATGCTTACCTGTGTACTTTTCCAAAAAATTCTTGAATTCGGGAATTTGAAGTTTATTCCATGATATATTAGCGACTATCAAAGCTGAACAAAGATCCTCGTTAAAAATGTTACCAGATTTAGGTTTTGCGTCCAATACAAATAATTGTTTTTTGTTATCATTTGCTTTACGATTTAAAGCACTTTTATGCAAAGCAGTATCAACGTGTTGTTGTACTTGAAATTTTTTGGTGCAAACAATTTTTTTGTCACACAATTGACAAAACACTACAGAACCGTCCGTAGTAAAAATTGTGTGGTCTATTTTATTATACAATGCAATCCATTGTTTTATTAAAATTTGAATATTACTACGACTTTTCGGCATTTTAAAATTTACGAGTGTAAAAAAAATTATTAAAGAAATTTGTTTATATACGGAATGCGGATTACGAAATTATATTTATAGGCGATTACCGACTGGCGACTACAGCACAACGCGCGACGATTAAATACCAACTAAATGTAAAACAACAAGAGCCACGATGCAGCGTGTTTATCCAATATAAGACTTAAAATCACGATAATAATAATAATAATCATGCTAAAGATATAATTGTATGAAGGAAATTTATATATAACTGGTCTTCATTGTTGTCGATCGATGTGTTTCGATAAGCAAGATATGGTTTTAATACAAATTAAATATTTCCCCACAATACTTCATAAACTCATAAATCTAGTTTCTATAGTGAAATATAAATAAAATAACTATTATGTACCAAAATATGCTTTATTATGCCGAATTCTTCAAATATGCTATCAACCTTAAAATATGCATTTATATGCAAAATAAACTTTTTTCTATAGATTCTCTGCTACACAAATCGTTCACATTTCTTACTCCCGTTGAACTGCATACACTTATTACAAATATGTAAATGCATAAAAATCCGGACCCTATTTATAACCTACTACTTTTACTGAAACTCGGAAAATACCGTATAATATACCTAATAGAAGTAATAAAATTTCGTTATATCTGATATATTTGATATCATTAACAATTAAAATAGGTAAAAGCAATAAAACACAAAGTATTTATTAAGTTTTTTAAGTTCCCTCCTCTCTTCTCGTTGATACATTACAATTACCTACTTGATCAATCTCATTTAAAATGTAAAATTAAATTAAAATTTAAAGAATAAAATACAAGATATATGGAATTCTTAGAATACATTCAATTTTTTCTTTGGAAAGAGGAGATGTTCACAAAATTATAACATTACATATTTTTGATAAAAGAACTCACATCATTGTAAAATCAATACATTCTTTGCATTGTTCAAAATCTAAAAAGATAATGGGGATCTTTCTCCCTATGCGTAAGCCCCTGTAAGGAGCGCCAATTAGTTTTTTCCCTAGTGCACAAATTGTCTAAATGCAACACTTTTTGATGTACATTATTATTTTATTTTAAAAATTCTGCGGTTTCTGTGATTTATTTTGAATGTCATTGTAGACTGTAGTTCTAGGAATTTGCAATGTGAATAATGGGCGTACAGTTGCAGTGGCGTGAAAACATTCCGTTTTCAAACATACCGTTTTTAGTATGATCATTCCAATCATACTAACGTTATTTTACTTCTGACTCATTGACACAGCTCAAATATAAATGCTATACGAAATGGCCTAAATATTACTCATTTAAACATGCTATGCTCCAACCCACTTAACCATTCATTCAAAAATTTAATAAGCCTACAAAATATGAACCCTACTCATTATACTAACAAATTATAACAGTTGTATAAAAATATTCAAAAAGTGAGGGCTAAGGACACGGGAAAATAGGTTTTTCGCTTATAATGGGAGTTTTTTTTTTTAAATCTATAAAAAAATAATTTATCATAACAATTATAATTTATGATACAATATTTTAATATATATATATATATATTCGTATAATGCTTATAACACACATTAACAATAAAATAATCTATGAACATGAAAATTATAAATGATGAAATTAGAAAAATAAATAATAAAATAGGAAAATAGGAATAAACAATTTTTACTGGACAGGGAGAAAAGAATTTCAGACCAGTTTATTTAAGTACAGTAAGTTTTATTTAATACATACAATAAATAAGTAAATACTTATCAGGCACGTCACATTTAATACTGGCGGTTGTATTAAATTAAAACAGAATGAAATATAAACGCAAACACGTCTATGATAATGGTGCAAAGACGCTAAGAAAATAGTATGTTAACAAAATGAAAAATAATAATAAATATATAAATATATATAAATAAATAATAATAATTATTTGTTTGTGTGATAAAATAAAACTCATAAATAAAATTTCTTTAAAATAAACAAAAATATTAAAGAATATAATTTTTAAGCAAATATGTACTCTAAAATAAAATACCAGTGATTACACAATTCAAAATACTAGTATTGCACAATTCAAAATACATAAAGTATAATGTAAAATGGTATAAATTTAAAATAAACAAATATATTATGAATATAATAATTATTTAAACAAACATTAAGTGTACACAACTAACAAAATTAGCTAAGGAAAAAATGTATGTATCATTACTACCTACTTTAAGAACATTAAATTTAAAACAGTAAAATAGCAATAATAATAATCTTCATAACTTATCGAACAAACAATGTTTTTCAACACAATACTGTCAATAATAATAACTTGGTTATAGTTAGTGTTTTGATTGACATTAAAATTCTAAATTATCTGTACATACATATAATATTAGCATAATAAAATTAAGTACTACATAATGTTTATTAAAGAAATTGACAATGATCTAATAATACTAATTAAATATATTTTAATAATTTTATTATATTAATATTTTAAAATGGCTAAGACAAAATCTTTTGATAGTGATATAAAATAAAAATGAAAGAAACAAAATCAAATATAAGAAATAAACCGGCCACAACCTTGGTTTCTTATTATTACACAATGTACAATAATAAAACACAACAAATGTTATACTTTAAAATGAGCTTTTTCAACAGGTCACCAAAACGGTTGGCACAACTTAAACGCCTAGTTTTTCAGGCACTGTGTATATATAATCTTAATACTTAACTATTGTATTATTATTATACATATTACATAAATTAACATATTATTTTATTTAAAATATTATTATTATTAGAAATAAGATTATAATTCAATGAATCGTTTTAAATGTTATTATTTGTAGGCACCAATGACAATAGAATAATATTAATAATAAAAAAAAATTGTACATATATTAAAAATGAAGTTTATCACAGTAATTATTGAAGTAGTTTTACTGCATTAATTCAGTATTATATATAAATATAAATTTATACATAATGACAAATGGCAATATAAACGAAACTTTAATACACAGCATGGTTTCATAATAATTATAATAATAATAGTTTTCGAAAAATATGTCTAGTTATTATTGATTATAAACACTAGCAATTAATAAACGCAGTAAAAAAAACAAAAAAAACCCAAGAACAAATACTGTTTACAATAATACTTTAGCAAAATATAGCGAATATATTTTAACATCATGCATATTCGCATTTAAATACTATTTAGTAACGACGGAAATTGAATAAAATTTATCACAATTATGCAGAATAAAAAATTGTATTCCTAATAATACTTTTTTTTCGGAATGATTTATTAGTCAAATGGAATGTATTTAGTTAGAACAACACTATAACAAAGAACTATGTTGTTATATTGTTTTTGGTTAAAAGGCCTACAATTTTTATTAACATGTAACTGAATAGGTCTAAGTTTATCAAGTTTAAAATTTTAATATTCATTTACCAATGTATTCATACATTTTTTTTAAAAATTATTTTAAGGAAACATTGTATTATACAATATAAATAAGCACTTCATTATTCTATCAATTATAAGTGTTTTATTAAACACAATAGTAGTTTGAATTGGATCTTTAAAAATTCTCTTTAGATTTTTTTGTATAAGGTACCTTTGATAAGAAAAACATGATAGCATACAATTACAACTAAACCAATAATTTAAACAAGTGAATTTGTAACAAAACTAAACAAAGGGTAAATACTACATTATTTGCTAACAACATGAGTGATTGTAAAAACAGAACAGATAAAGATGGTTGTAAATATTTGGTAACACTTTTTTATCCCTTTGAATATAAACATTAATATTAATAAATTATGTTAACATCCAGAACGATCACATATGTTGATATAATGTTTATTACACTTCTAACCCAAGATATGGGATAGATAAAAACATAGATGCTAATATCAAGTGATCAAATTATTGCAAACTTACTAGTAGGTATACATTTTCATTGAGCTCAAACTTTTAATAACACTTAAAAATTAAAATTATAATTAACATACACTGTACAATATAGATTATACGAGAAGAATACATCAATATCGCTGTTGAAACTCATGGTGCCATCTATTGTAGTCAATGTGGAATATGACAATTGATCCAGTTGACAATCCAGCTAACAAAAATCTTTAAAAGTATGAAAAAATAAGATTAAAATTGAATTATATTTACTAACAATAAACAATATACTAAATTTTAATTACTTTTGGTCGTGTGTAAGTCCCAGAGATCGCACACTACTGTCACAAACAGGAAAAGCATATAGAAGTGATAAATTAAATGTTCTCCATACTTCAACAATACCTTTGTCGCCTCCTGTCATTAAATATTCACCATCTCTGCTTAGCAACATGCACTGAAAAATATAATTCTATATTAATTGAAAGTATCTATTGTAAAATTGACACAAAAAAAAATTAAATAAATTAATAAATGTTATTGATTACAATGTAAAATTATAAATAATTTAAACAAGAATAAAAAAAAAAAAAATAACACACAAAAAAAATTTAAAAATAATTTAAGTAACAATTGCATTGTTTAGATATTTTTTTTTAAATCAGTGTAATTTTTTTAAGAATTTTTCACTGAAAAATAACAACCATATAACCAGGAAAAGTGACCATTAATTATTTGATCACAGTTTATAGGTCATAAATGTACAATAGAACAGAAATTATGATTAAATGTCTTATTATTACTTGAATATTATCGTTGTGCATGGTATGTCTCAGTCTTTTCCCATTGATTGTAAATGCTGCGATGCTGCCATGTTCATAATTCACAACAATGATGCCTTCTCGGGACATAACAGCACATTCAGGATTTTCAAAGCCATTGGGAGGGTCCAGCGACCTAAGAAGATCGCCAAATGTAGTGTGTACAAGAACTGGACCACCTAAAAAACAAATGAACCGTTTTTAATACTAAATGTAAAAAATAAATAATGCACATGATACTAACCCGAGGATGCGGATACGACTAATCCAAGTTCAGCAGATATAGATACTGAAGTGACTGGTTGTTCGTGGCCTGTTAACGTAGCTCTTGGTGTAGGGTGATCACCTTCTCCGACAATTGTCTGACTTCTTGCGTTCCAATGCCACAATAATATAGTACAATCCGACGATCCACTGGCAATATAACAGTCTGAAGTGATGTTACATTCGCTGCGACTCAAGCACGTTACCACACCATAGTGGCCAAAAACGATTTGAACAATTTTTGCTGATACAGAATAGGACACAAGCGATAAGTAGATATTTTTTGTCTTATTATTACATCGTCAAGCTAGTTACGCGGGCATTACCAGTTTCAGTGGAGAACACTCTGAAACTATTGTCCCAAAAACCGCAAACAATCAAGAAACGGCTGTCCACTGTTGTCACAAAACAATTCCATTTGATTTTTAATTTCTGACTAAAGTTGTCACCTAGATGGCGTTTCATTGTGATGTTCACATTGCTATTGGATTGAGCTAAAAAACAGATAACGAGATTTAATATCGGTGAACCGTCAACGTTATTAACAACTTTGGGTGATAATTTATGCATAACACCAATCGACAACAACCGATTTAAAATCGAGTTGCTTCGCGTGTGCAGCGAACGGTACGAGCAGTGTTGGGACTGTTGGGATTATTGCATTAAGCTTACTCAAAATTTGATCCATAACAAGAGGTAAGTTAACGTTCGGTTGCTGAGGACTTTCAGCATAACTTGGCGATTGAATTGTCACTGAAAGGAAAATAAATAAATATATATATATTAATGTAATTAAGTATATTAATGTAAATAAATATATAAAAATAAATAAATAAAAACAGCGTTAAAAGTTTAAGATTTTGTATGTTTTTAATTAAAACATGTATATATATAAACCGTATCCGTATGGTGTATTTCTAACATGGGCGCTGTCGCTTCCCTTGGGTGTATTTACTTAAGGAGGCGTTCTATTTAAGAGGATGTTTAGGGGCGTTTTTTCTGTCACTTAAATTTTAATTATATGCATGATAGAATATGTTTTAAATCAAACCAAGATCTATGTTCCTTCAACTTTGGACAGGAAGGTTAAATTACTAATTATGGCTTTTTAGTCGACATACCTAGTCGCAAAAGACTTTAGGGCATTGAACAACTTTTCACAAAATCAAAATAGGTACCGAATAGAAAAAAAAATATATGTGAAAAGAAAGATTTAAGACTGATACTGACATTTATTGAGCGGTATATTGTTTCATAAGCAAAAAATCATTACCTCATAGCAGTCATTAATCATATATGTATTTTTCGTGTAATTATTTTACAGTATGAAATGCGAAATTATATATTAGATAATCACGTTTATTAGCGAAAATTGTTCATATTGTCCCCATATTTCTATTTTTTGAAATTTTCTTAAATGGTCGATTAAAACAAATGGGCTTTTAGTTAAAAAAAAAAAAAAAAAAAATGATGTTTAGAAGGGAAGTGAGATATTTTTGAAAATTGAAAGAAGGTGACGTGATAATTGGGAACACTAAATACAGAGATACATGGGTTTTAAGTAATATTATTGTTTGGAATGCTCGTGACGAACCGGAATAGTTTGTGTTCCATCGGTTTATCGCGAACTGCATGTTAGTGGTGACGGTCACGACGGCCGGCATCGGCAGTTGCGGGAACGTGTTGGCCGATATGTGACAAATCGGTGAGTTTGACGGGAACTTCATGGTCATGCAAACGTCGTCCGGTATGCTGGTGAACATCATTGGTGACTGGGGAAAAAAAAATTGCGTTAACACTACTATCTGGTCTAGCTGATGGGGTGTGTGAAACGGCGTATACACAAGTATCCAGTGTCGACCTGGACACTAAAGGACTCTCAAAAACATCACTTAACAATTTATTTTTTTTTTCGACAATTTTCATTGCGGTAAAAATTGAGTTGAATGTTAACAATATATAAATGTAAGCATATGCATGTATATTTATACAATACATCTATACAATATTTAATATCTGTATATAGTAACTTAAGTATGTTGTCAAATTGTACAAATAATATCAGTTATCCTTTTAATAGTTCTGATGAGTTAGCCACATTGTTAAAACATTTTTTTCTTTGTCAATTTCTAAATGTTTTTTTTACAGTTATCATTATTAAAGGACACTATTATTTTGATTGAACGGTTGATCGTCATGTTGTTTTTATAATATTTTTTTTTGACACGACACATAAATGATAAAATTAATATGAGTTAAAAAAAAAAAAATAATAACAACAGAAGTAACAAAAAAAATCTTCATTGTAATAAAAGCATGATTCGTATTTATTATATGTTAAAAAAAAATACAATAAATACCGATTTTGCTTTTATTACAATCAAGATTTTTTTGTTACTTCGTCTTCGCTCTCAGTAATTATTTCCAATAAACTATTGTTTCAGTTTTATCGTTTTATTTATTTATTTTAAACAAATGAAATAAGGCTTCGTATAGAAAAATATGGGTCGGAGCTTATAAGCCGTCTGGACCAAGCCGACACTGCATATATCGGTGAAAGGGATGTTATAACATATGTATATGATTACGATGTGCATGGCCGAACTGCGGGGCAAGTGTGGTTCCATCAACAGCTGAGATGGCGTCTGCCCGAAACAACGTATTTGATTCTCGATAGCCTCTCTCATTATGGGATCCGTGATGGTGTCCATGTCGACGCTTCCTTCATACGTCAGATAATAGAACACGTTGGACGCCCTGATGGCTTCGGGTCCTGCGGACGAGAAAAACGGCGATGATTTATTTAATATTAATAACGATAAAATCCAACATGCTCATCACTCGGAGTCGTTGGGGGAGTTAATAGTTTAGTTAGCGATTGCGCACCCACCTCTTTGCTTGTATCCGAATATCAAGTCGATCCACTGATGAAGTTGGCACGATACGAATTCGGATTCCAAAGCCTGCGATCAAAATGAACATGTGGTGTATCGAACAAATATATTACGTAAACAACTGGTTATTAAACGGTGTGTGAAAATATCAAAATCGATATGACGCGCCACATATAATACGTACCATTCTGTTGATCCTGATGAACTCTTCTGGCGAAGTAGCCCACGGCGGTAGCTCGACGTTGTCCACGCAAGTGCCGTCTTCCTGATGTCCCAATTTGTACTCGTTATCGTTGGACAACATTTCGGGTAAGAAGAACAGTTCGGGTATTAGTTCCTGTCGAGAAGGAAAAATGAACCGAGTAAAAACGAAATTCATCCGCAAACGGGTATATGACGACATTGCTGCGGTACGCAAGAGTTAACGCACGCCTGTACATACCTTAACGTCAGAAGTGTCTCGTTGGCAATTCTTCCAAGAGAGCGCAATAGAAGAAAACAATCGGTTTGGATGATCGAATTTGCCACCTTGCAAAGCCAAAAACATCGTGGTGAACGGTTCCTGAAAAATACATCGCGTTTCAATAATAGTTTGGAAAAATGCGAGCGAAAAAAAAAACGACACTCACGATTCGAATGAGCCAATTTAGAACGAAAGCCGCTGTAGAATAATGGGTACCGTAATGGAAAGGCGGAATGCTATCGTTTTCCCAAGAGCCGTACCGTTCTTCGAAGTAGGCTTTACGACTAGGATTCAACGCGCCAATTGGCTAAACAAAAATAATGTTACATTATAATTTTTATGATACATTCTACGATACATTCATTACGATCACAAAAACAAATTGTGACAGAATAAAATATTTTCGGAATTGACTGAATCGAATTGACCTAATATCCTTTATAAATTAATTATTTAATCGATCCTAAAATAAATTTTATAAAATGTAGATCACCTTAAAAAAAAAAAAAGTATATGTATAAAATAAAATAATAAACATACTTTTGATAAATCTCGGTAGTTGGACGGAAGGCCGAGGTCCATTTCGTTTGATTCATAATTGGTAAGAACCCACGGGAAAACAGGGTATTGATTTAAATCGTTGTAAGTTCGTCCTATAATTCAAATCAATGATGATAAGACAGACGTTATAAAATATTGATAAAATTAATTTCAACATTTTTAAAACCATTATATAACAATAAGTTAACATATATAAAGAGAAAATTTGTGTGTAATAAAAAAATATATATATAGTATAGTATATGAGATAAAAAATAACATAAAAATTTTAATGAATCTTTTGAAAAATGTAAAATTAAATAAATAAAAGTTCGAATAAAAAAAAAGTAAAAAATAATCAAATAAAAATAGTCACATATTTTTCCTTTGTTGATTCAAATGAGAATAAATTTGAACTCAAAATGTATGTTGCGATTAGTCAAAATACATTTTCATAACCAAATTCGTTAATTTTCACGAAATATTACTTTAGTCGTGAGCAATAATAAAAGGTCAATCGAGCACGGCGTATCATAAAAATCGGAAATAGAGAGATGAAGGCAGTCAATAGTTATATTAAACAAGAATTTACCAACTTATTATTGTAATAATAATGCGTTGTGTAAAACTCGTGACCAGAGCTTATCAGATGATTAAACTGGAAAAGATTTGACATTTTAAAAACGTGCATCAGTGACATCAATAGATGTCGAAAGAAATTGGTCTCGTTATACATGCCACGGTTCGAAAATCGGCGATCGTTCCGCGTGGAAAATATTCGGTAGACGAACAACACGGCGAAGTATTTCATCGTATCGATAAAAAAAAATTAATATTGTATTCTAAAAACAATACCGGAACTGAAATTATGCGTCGTCGAGTGAAACCCGATTAAATCTGTACCGATATCAGAGAATTCGAGCGGATTATCAAGATTGAATCATAATCGATTTCATTGTATGAATTTTGCTTGGATGCGGTTTTTTTAAATTTTTTTTCGAACCCTTTCTAAGGCACACTTTCAATTTCTTCCGCCTCACGTCTATCTGTCCGTACAGTACCCACGACGAAAACGATCGCCGTCTCCGGTGGCGCCACGTCGGCGAGTTACCCGCCGTGCGCGAGACACGCGTGCGTAGGCGAAAGAAATAACGCGACGTCCGCGCCACCTTAACATTATGGTATCGTGGTTTTTAAAATTAGAGAGTGGCCGCGCGGCAACGATAATGTTTGTTCGGGAAACGGCCGGTGGGCGGGGTAGGGCGGCGAGCGTACGACACGTGTGACGACGTGCACACTAATTGGCGCTGTCAGTGATTTGGAGGACCCGAACGAGAACAGGACGTTGAGCGATCGCGCGGGACAGTCGAGGAGCGACGCGTCCCGGCGGAGGAACCGCGTCGGCGACGATTATTATTATTTTACCGTCACCGTTGACGTCCTCGCTCCGGCGATGTTGGTACGTTGGCCGTTGTCACGTCACGTACGTTTGCGTTACTTATGCGACCGCGCGGCAATGTACGTGGCGTGTACATATTTGTCTACGAACAAACGTTCACGAATGATAAACGTTTTCGAAAAATAATTTGTACCCGTGCCATTGCAGTGGAATGGAGGGTCGGTAACCTTTTCACAGTATAGAACCATATTTCTAATAAAAAAAAAAAAAAAAAATTCGAAGCCGTCATGAGACTATGCTCGGATGTTTATGTACATAAAATGGCTATAATATGTATGCAATCGTACACAAAAAAAAAACATAAATTATATGTTTTAGCTAAAAAAAAAAAAAAAAGTACAAAAATGTACAGAGTAAAATTTATTTCACCTATGGTATTAAAAATGTATTGTAATTTATATTAGGTGTTATTTTTATATTTCCTACTTATAATAATAAATATGTATTTAAAATATAAAACCAAATATGAAATATGAAAAACTAAATAAAATAAAAATAATAAAAATAATATTATTGGATTCAGTGAAACACGAATCAAATTCGTATCTAGGTCTACATTTAATGTAATTCCATAGATAAAATATATAACTTCATAGACATTTGAACCCTAGTCATGACTATGAGCCGCATTGCACCGAAAATCAATATTTTAAATTTTTCTCATTTTAGTCATAGTCCAAACGCCCTAATTTCCACTCAATTCCTTTATTAAGTTAAATCTAAGCCCTCGTTAACTGGTCAGAAAATGAGTTACAAAAAAAAGTAATCCGAACAATTTCATTAGGGTACAAATATTATGCCACAAAGAAAAGTGTGACAGCATTATAATCAGCATGCCACTGCAAGTGGACGTTTGTGTTTGCGAATATAATTACAATAAACTAACCGGCTATGGTGTTGAGGAACATGAGGTACTCAAAATTGGATATCTCACGGCGCTGCCATTTTTGCGTCATGTTCGAGTTCCGCATCAACTGTCTGGGAGACATCATGGACGCGCGTCTGAAAGTTTATAGACAAATAGCGTAATATAACTTCATATTATAATAAGTCAACGTGAATTATAGCAAATTATTAGTAAATAAGAATGATATAAAAATATAAATTATAATATAAATACAAATAATGTATATAAAAAAGCGTATTGACTCGCAGGACATATTAAAATGCTAATTGGTATAGTAATAGCGAAACGTTATGTCGGCATAGAAAATAAGAGGAAAAATAACGATGAATATAAACGTTATTCTGATGTAATATGATATGGAAAAGAATAATCCATTTTGATTTTCACATTTTGGAGGAAAATTTATATTGTAACACTACAAAACAATAAATATTTTCTTAATAGCACATAATTTATTTATCCTGGCTAATTTGTTTTTTTCTAAAATATTATACTTTTTATCATTGAACATTGAAAATTTATAATTTTCGAATCATATTTTAGTCTATAACTATTCTAGACGTAAACATTTTTTTTTAACCGATATCGATACGTTATTCTTGAACATTATATTAACTTCACATTTAATTTATTAGAAATATTCAATCTTTGAAAAAGGTAGATAAACAAAAGTATAACAAACAGACGCTCAATAAACGTGTCTAATTCAGTGTCATAAATTTAAAAAAGTGAAGGATAAATTCCAAAATCTTACCTTGTTTGTGGTAAACCGTACTTGATACCAACTCCAACTCTTGGCAAGGCTTTTATGACTCTTTTAACTGTATTCTGGTCAGGGAATGAAAACATTACGGACGCTATAAATATTTAAAACAATACAATTAGTAATATATTTAAAATATTCATAATAAAAAAAAAGTAATAATAATATAATAAATAAATATAAATAAATGTAAATAAATAAATATAATCGAAAATATAATTTAGTAATTTAAAATATTCATAATATTGATTAAGGACTAATTAACCTAAAAAAAAAATATAAACAATAATGTACATATTCAAAATCAAAAATTTAATTTCCAATATAATTCAATATTATTTTGGAGTGTTAAAATATTCTATAGTTAGTTTTTTAATATATTTTTCATGAAAAATAATCTTGTTTATAATTTATACAGTCAAACAATTTTTTTCTCTAAATTAATTCGGTTTTCTTGTAATCTTTCTTAGTGATTGAAAATAATACCAGTTTGATATTGTATACATACTACGCGCACTCCTAAGGTATATAATAATTATATAAAGCAGTTGAAAACACATTTTACATTTTAAAGTGCAATTAATAAACAACACGTAAGACGTAATAAATTATAATACATAACATACACCGAAGAAAAAAAAAATTAACCACGTCCCATTAGAAGTACTAATTTAAGACGGGACATATTATTACAGTAGAGCTGTGCATTTATATATGTATAATAAACTGTATTAATAGGCGCATCAAAAATAACACGGCCATTGAGTGCACATATAGCTAGGTAAATAAATTACATTTAAGCACTGATTTATTTGAATCAATGGTTACCGCGGGAGTATAAAAATAATATTAGTTCATCACGGCATGTGACGTCCTTTATTGCGTAAAAGTGTCATCCGGGATCAAAAGATATGAGAAAACAAAACATCAGTACACCATGAACATCAAAAATATACACACGGCGGTGGTTAGCATTATTATCATCGACACCATTAAAATAATACGTTATAAAAATATTGTAATCTACACAATAGTAATTTTAATGCACATGACGAAAATGAAAAATCGAAAAACGTATAATACCGTAACTTAATAGAAGTAATAATAATAGAACACAAAGATTGTAATCACCATGTAGACGTAATAGGTCAAAGTTAGAAAAACACGTTCAGTCTAGCCGAAACCCTTTTAGCGGATTGAAAAAAAACGAACTACTACGTCGCCGAAATCGTATATCTACAGTAAGAAGACTCATCGAGCAAAACTTCACACTGTAACACATGAACATCTATACATATACAGTGAAATAACTGCAGCAGGAGCGCTCGTTCATTTCGCCATATAGTTGTACCACGGATGGGACGGTGTATGTACATAATTCGGTTTTTGCGCGACCCTTTCTGCGGACCGAAGTGTTATACTAGAGGCGACGCTGGTATAAACTCATGTTTGTGTATATACCGAGCATATAAATTATATATATATATATATATATGAGTAGGAAAAACGTGAGGGGGTGGTAGAAAATGAGTTTTCCGGCCGTCCTTTAAAATCGAATTAACATTGATCCGGCGGCGTCAGTGGCGGCACCAGCACCCTTAACAAAACACATCGGGTAGACCCCGCTGACGAGAAGGGTCGAAGATAATTTCTCGAATCCGTACGACCCCTAAGCACTTCCGGTCTATTCAAAACGAACGTTTCCTGTTCAAAAACAAACCCTCAAAACGCTACACACTCGTAACAATAAATCAGACAGCAGAGGTATATATACATAATAAACGGTGCACTAGCACCACCGGTATGATACTACATAAAAGGTGCCCACACGTATTTGTGGGTTTATGCTTTTTCATACTCAGGGCCGTGGAGAGAGAAAGCCGGTTCCATCGAGTATATCTTAAGGACTCCATTATTTTTGACTGTTAGGACGCAACTGTTAGGAGTAAAATAGTATGGGTATGTATGGCGTGTAATAGATCATTTAAAAAAAAAAAAGAACTACTCAAAAATACTATAAATCAATTATTTACGAAAATTATTTAATTTTTGTTATTTAAATATTTTACAATATCATTCCTTCTCCCTTACCGTCAGGCCTGTTTATACTACACAGGTAATTTTCCAAGTTCACAGTTACTACGGTTGATCCTTCTCAATAGTAAAAACATATAACAACTACGCATATTTAACATAATATATATTAATCTTAAAACTTTTACGAGCAAAATAAATCGGATATTGTACTATTTTTTGTACACCAACATAACATAACATTATCTCGTATGAACACAAACGAGTGCATTTTAATAAATTTATATGAAAACTGCGATCGCGATACAATACTGAAGTATTATTATATGTATACAACCTCGCATCGTGAGTGTAGTGTCCTTTCGTCCAGCTCTAGTGTACACAATATAGACTCCGGACACGATCGAAAACCGTGAATGCGGGATAAACGATATTAAAACATTAACAATCATTTGATTTCAGAAAAAATGATATACCAAACGAGGAAATACTAATATACATAAGTATTCAGCTATTATTCACGACTTTTATTAGCTGAATCATCATTATAGATATAGGTACAATGCACATTACATCGACGTATTTTAATAACGTATATGCGGATCAGGTTAGGATCAGGTGTGTACTATGATACACTTTAAACGATACAAAATGTAAAATGTGTAATAAAACCGAATTCATTGGAAAATCACAACACCATTTTCAAAATCTATATCGTAGAATCAGTTCAAACGATAAATACAGAGATATTTATATCATGTCAACAATAGATTAACAATACATTTTCAGAAGTTTTGTTAAGATTTGCTCGATCTCTGACCATGGAGCACGTTATGAGCTACAAACATTTGTTGATAATTTAGTGTACAGAATGAAAATGTAAACACTTTAGCCTCTAATGCGTGTGTGAAATATCAGGGCACGGATTATGGAGGTACAAAACGTGTACAGTAAACGTATATATTATATAGACGTATTAGTACTTCGTAGAGTAGTTGATCACTATAAAAAAATAATAATAAAAAAAATTAAATAAAACAGTAATAATTTATTATAATTAATCAAACGTAAAATTATCCTAACTCTATATCTTACTACATACTCACGCGTGGTGTCACACTACATGATTCAACCTTCGACATTCAATACTACCCGAAAATAAAACACAGCAATTCAGGTAATAACGAATGGAAACATAATCGCTAAGATATATATCTTAAGATGCGTCCACACTTGTGTAACATGCAATTGCAACGCATAACTTGCAACGCATTTTTGTAACATATTCTTGCAACAATCCAGCGAACTTGTAACACATTTGGGTTAAAAACCGACGATCGGCTAATAGTCGGTAATTTAGTGAAACAAAAAAGTATGTTACACGAACGTGTTACTGCTTGTATGGACACAAGTTTGTGAACCTATTACTAATAACTAGGACATGGTTTTTAATGCCCTAAAAAATACATTAAATGTCTTATAAAAAATACAATTATGACCTAGATGTTTTTTATTAATGACGTAAAAATATGTATTAAAAATGTGAAAAACGAGTACCAAAAATGCATTCAAGTTTTTTTTATTTTATTTGATCGATGCTTTCCACATACGTAGTCCGAATTATTATTATTGTCATCGACTTTTATACCATAGTTTAATGATATAACGATAGAATAAGACGATAAAGTGTAGTTGTCAATAAGTTGATTAAAGAAAAAAATTGTATACTTACATGAAATTTTTTTAAATATTCCCAAAAATGTTAAATTTTTAAGAAATATGAAAATAATGTCCTTAAAAGTAGTAAAAATACCAAAAATGCATTAAAGAAGTAAATATAACAATAAATGCAAAAAAATGCAAAATAAAAATTGAATTATATGAATTTAAACCACTTGAAACATTTTTTCTGAGCATTGCGTAAGGATTTAGAAAAAAAAAAAATTGCATTTTGCATTGAAATCCATGCTCTACTAATAACTAACTTATTATTAATAATTTCTATTATTTCAACTGGTAGTTGACGATTGACAATGAAACAAGCTAGTATTTATTGTTTATTAAAATATTTCATTTCGATTACACAATGTTCCAGTGGTCAAACGAAATTATTTTAAAATGTATAGAAATTTACCATGATAAAAGAATATTATGGAATCCTTTGTATAAAAATAATTTTAATGGCATATGAAAAAATTATGCTTGGGTTTCCATTGCTGATCAATTATTAACGAGCTTATAGAAAACGGTGTCACCTGACGAATGTCGTAAAAAAAATGATTACTTTACTATGTGCATACAGAAGAGAAAAAAGTAATGTGAAAAAAAAGCATAGGTACAGGATTTGTACTATGTGTATTTGTATTTCAAAACGTCTAAAAGAATGGCTGCAGCTACCCGAGTAGACGTAGACATGTTGACTACACTATCAATTTCAGAGAGTCAAGAGACTAATTTTTTTATACGGAAACCACTAAATTATGACTTGTAACATGTTGCGTTTAATGTGAACGTGTCTATACGAAAACATGTAATAATCCATTTAATACTTTTTTCGGAAAAAAAAAATACCAACTTATTTCTGTTGCTAAACTGTAACTTGCTCGTAAGTTAATGTTCTCAGTGCAAGTACCAGTTGACAGGTAATCAAAATACCAACACAATTATATGATCTAAATATCGGTTAGCCTACATTCAAGTTTCGCTATCATTTCAAAATTCTGAATTATTTCGAAAGGTTCAATAAGTTGCAACGTAATTATTTACACATACATACCTGATATAGTTATGATCAGTGGCGTATATAGAAAATATTTTCGGGAGGGGCTACTATTGACAGAGTTAAATTACTACTGCTATCTAAGAATTACTATCAAGACACAGTAGGTACTTATCTATATTTTATTTAAAGAATATCCCAAAACGATTTGACGTTGGACACAAATTATAAATAAGCATAAAGCACCATTAAAATATAACATATGTTTAAAATAATTTTTAAGTTTTTTGAATCATTTATGGAGGGCTGTATCCTACTGGATACCCCCTTATATACGCCAC